TAAAGCTGAAAAAGAAGAGGCTGAGGCCTGTCCTGCCTGGGAACGTGGGGCCTGGCCTGAGGGAGCTGAGAGAAGCTCCCGGCCTGATACACTGCTCTCCCCTGAGCAGCCACCATGTCCTGGAGAGGGCTCTGGTGGCCCACCCAGCAGTATCTCTCCTGAGGTTGAGGCTGGGCCCCAGGGATGTCCCACTGAGCCCCGGCCCCACCATGGAGAGCTCTCCCCATCCTTCCTGAACCCACCTCTGCCCCTATCCACGGATGACAATGACCTTTCAACTGAGGAAGCTCAGCTGGTAGGAAGAGGGGGGTGGCGCCGGGCAGGGGGGCCAGGGAACACAGGGGGGCCATGCCCTGTGGCTGACGAGACACCCCCCACATCAGCCAGTGACTCAGGCTCCTCACAGTCAGATTCTGATGTCCCGCCAGAAACTGAGGAGTGTCCATCCATCACAGCTGAGGCAGCCCTCGACTCAGATGAAGATGGGGACTTCCTGCCTGTGGACAAAGCTGGGGGGGTCAGTGGAACTCACCATCCCAGGCCTGGCCACGACCCACCCCCTATCCCCCAGCCAGACCCCCGCCCATCCCCTCCCCGCCCTGATGTGTGCATGGCAGACCCCGAGGGGCTCAGCTCAGAGTCTGGGAGGGTAGAGAGGCTACGGGAGAAGGAGAAAGTGCAGGGACGAGTAGGGCGCAGGCCCCCGGGCAGGGCCAAGCCCACATCCCCTGCACGGCGTCTGGATCTTCGGGGAAAACGCTCACCCACCCCTGGCAAAGGGCCTGCAGATCGAGCATCCCGAGCTGCACCCCGACCACGCAGCACTGCAAGCCAGGTTGCCCCAGCAGAGGAAAAGGATGGACACAGCCCCATGTCCAAAGGCCTCGTCAATGGACTCAAGGCAGGACCCAGTAAGTATATCATGAAAAGCGGGAGAGGCTGTGGGTTGGGGCTGGGTGTAGAGTGGTCAAAGGCTCCAGGAGTAAGAAAGAGGGAAGGCTGCCGAAAGTGGTCAACTTTTCCTTTACAATGAGTCCTGGCTTTTCTCTACAGTGTCCTTGGGTTCCAAGGGTGGCGCTGGCTCCCCTGTATATGTGGATCTCGCCTATATCCCGAATCATTGCAGTGGCAAGACTGCTGACCTTGACTTCTTCCGTCGAGTGCGTGCATCCTACTATGTGGTTAGCGGGAATGACCCTGCCAATGGCGAGCCAAGCCGGGCCGTGCTGGATGCCCTGCTGGAGGGCAAGGCCCAGTGGGGGGAGAATCTTCAGGTGAGTAGCAAGGGACGCCAAGGTAGTAGCCTGGTCAGAGCTCACTCAGAGGCACAGTCCCTATGTATAGAAGGACTGGGCCTTTTTTATGGCCAGCAGGGCTGCTTCTGAGATCATCAGGTGCCCCTTCCTCCTCACCTACCTTCCCTTCATGTTCTCACATCAGGCATGTCTTATCTCCCTCCTAGGTGACTCTGATCCCCACTCATGACACAGAGGTGACTCGTGAGTGGTACCAGCAGACTCATGAGCAGCAGCAGCAACTGAATGTCCTGGTCCTGGCAAGCAGCAGCACCGTGGTCATGCAGGATGAGTCCTTCCCAGCCTGCAAGATTGAGTTCTGAAAGAGCCACCTCCCTTCCCCAAGGATCCACTCCCGCAGCTCCTTTAGAGAATGGCTACTGCTGAGTCCTTTGGGGTTGAGGGAAATGGGAGCCGAAGGGGAAGCAGATGTCTTATTGTGGGGACTTGGGCTGGGCTAAATGGGAGAGGTTGTCCCTCCTCTTCATCCATTCCTGAGAGGGGTCTCAAAACCAAAGGTAACAGGAATAGGATGGGGAAGGGTACAAATTAGGATAGAGGTCATCTGATGCCTGAGAACCCTGGAGTACTCTCCTAGCACTGTCAAATGCTGGTATTGGATGAGGAGTGAGGATGGGTCTCAGAGAGCAACCTCCTCCTTCATGGAGGGAGATCATATCCCCGACCCCAGGGACCTCTTTATCTCAATCTATTTATTTAGCATCCCAGGAAGGATTTCCAATAGTAATTTATGTGACCTGGAGGCAGGAGACTGTCAGTGAGGTGCCCAGAGCTGCACCCATTCCTCCATCTCCATTCCCTCACCCACCAGGGTCTGGGTTCTAGCAGTGGCCTGGGGGTGTGCCACTGCTACACTGTCCTACTGCTTCCCTCAGTATTTGAATGTCTCAGTCCAAAACTGGAAGCTCTTTGACCAACAGACTGGTGAGAGGAGAAAGGAGCTTATCTCCCACCCCCTGCTTCATACCATTCACATCCCAGGGCTGTGTCCAGACCAGGCCTACTGGGCAGCACAAAAGGGCAAGGAGAGCCCAGTCCCAATCCCAGAATTATTCCAAACTCCCTGACCCTTTGAAGTTTTTACTCACCCCATTCCAATTATCCTGATCCCTTCTCATCCCTTGCTTGGCTTCTCTGCATGTGGTCATCTGCCGTGGCCTGGTGTGTAATGGGTTAAAAATAAGCCACTGCCTGACATGACATCCCAACATTTGACACCCCAGCAATGTGTGACTCCCCCAACATTCCACTCTACCATCCTGCAGCTGAAATGAGAATGCTGGCTTCCTCTCCAAACCCAAACTCTTGGACAGAGGATTTGGGGAGTGAAGGGTAGGCCAGAGGACTTGGGGAAAATAAGAGGAAGGAAGGGAAAAAGGAAACAAAGCTGAGCTATAGCTTAACTCCTACAGAGTGAAATGAAAATGGGCTGAAAACACCACCCCAGGAGAGGACCTCACCCCAAGCAAGCCAGTGGGCAGCCCTGCCAGACTACTGCCGGACTGAGAAACCCAGACGCTGATAGTCTTATGGGCTCGCCTTCTCTGCCAAACTGGGAAACCAAAATGAGCCCGCTTTGTGTTCTTCCTAGCTCCCACCCTCCCCGTGCTGCTGTGCTCTGCTCTTCCCCACACTTCCCTGCTATAGTTCCCAGCTGCTGTAATGGAGCCGCCTCCAACTCTAACAATAAATCAAGTTCATTGCGGATGGTGTAGTACTGCTTAGGTTTTTTCTGACTCCTCACATTGCTTAGTTGCTGGGCCCTGACTTCCACCTCTCTGCTTCACCCAATATTATCTTTTATCTTGGAAGACCCCAATACTTTTGATTACTGGAAGCAATTCCAAGACACAGGGGAGCCAGAGAACACAGGTGGGTAAAGGGAGACAGATAGGAGGAGCCAGCATAATTTCTGAAAATGGGTGAGATTGTCTGAATATGGGGAATAAGAGTCTAGGGTGGGACATACATTTGGTTTGGGGGATCGAAGAGGGGAAGGGGACCTGCATTCCATGGGGTCAAGAGCTGAGGACCAAATAACCAGGATCAGATACCCTGGATAGGGAAACACCAAAGAGGTAAGCAGTTGAGGGGTCCTAAGAGACCCAGAGCCTATTGAGGTTGGAAATACCTCTCCCTGTGCAGTCATGATTTCCATGGAATAAAAAGTTAGATTTCCTCCCCTCCAGTGAAACCCTTCATAGTTCTGGGTATGTCAGGAGTGGCCAGGTTACGAATGTTGAATATGTGGGGAAGCGGATATTCTAGCCCTCCCAGTATTCTGGGCTCTCCCAGAATAAAGATATCAAGTGGATAGAGAAAGGGCATAGCCCCTCTATGTAAACTCCTGACACTCCAAATTACCAGAGTGAAAAATTAAGAGGGCAATTCCAAGGACTTGGTGACAAGGCATGTACCCTTTGGTGCTTCACAGAGACAGAACCTCTTTCCACCCCCACATCCAACACTCTACTTATTAAAGACATTTTGGCGTGGTGGCTGATTGTTATCGGGACCTCCTGGGATGCCCAATCTCTGTATTTTTTTTTTCCTGAGACAGAGTCTCGCTCTGTTGCCCGGGTTAGAGTGCTGTGGCATCAGCCTAGCTCACAACTTCAAACTCCTAGGCTCAAGCAATCCTTCTGCCTCAGCCTCCCAAATAGCTGGGACTACAGGCATGTGCCACCATGCCCAGCTAATTTTTTCTATATATTTTTACTTGTTTGGCTAATTTCTTTCTATTTTTAGTAGAGACGGGGTCTCGCTCTTGCTCAGGCTGGTCTTGAACTCCTGACCTCAAGCTATCCTCCCTCCTTGGCCTCCCAGAGCGCTAGGATTACAGGCATGAGCCACTGCTCCCGGCCCCCAATCTCTGTATTTTTATAGCCCATTCCTACTCAACTGTAATGGCTTTTGACTGATTCAGATTAATTCAGTCACAGACACAACTGACTCACAGTCATATTCATTCTTGAATTCACAAGGACATCGTCATCGCCACCACCATTCTCATTATTTCATATTTATTGAGCACTCATAATGTTCCGGCCCCCCACTCCAATGACCCATTAGCCCTCCTACCCATCCCCATTCCCACCCCTACATCTTTGGAAAAAGCTTCATAATCACATCTGGCCCTAAAGACACAACAATGTAAGGATAAACTTCTTGGGGACTCTGGAGTGTTTGGTCTTTGGCCAGTCTGTCCCTGGCACTACTACAGAAATATATATATATATATATATGTATATATATTTATTTATTAAATCTTTGCTCATATCTGTACAATATTGATCTTTGATAATTTCTTAAAATAGAACCTGATTCTCTCTACTACAGCATCTCCTAAAGCCAAACAGCCCCACAACAAAGGGAGGCCCAGCTTCACAGAATGGCCAAGAATCCTCTAGACCATTTTAAGTAGTTACTCAGAAATTTGCACGGCCATCTAATACCTATTCTTCCCTGGAGCTATTGACCAGAGGAATAAGACTGGGGCAGAGGGGGCACTTGGGGATGATATGGCAACACTCATAAGCCCAGTCTAAAGATTAGTGGCCATGATAGATGTTTGAGAAGGGGACTCTATTTTCCAGACATTTCAGAAGGCCATTCGGGCCCACGTGAGGAGTGCTTGCAAAGATAAGAGTCCCCCTGAATGCACATATGGTCTAAGGGAAACTTGAGAAGTTGTGAACATTTCCCAGAAAAGTGAAGACCTGGGAGTCTCTCTTTTTGCATTTGCTATCCCCGGATGGTGTCTTCAGTAGTTAAGTGGAATTTTCTTTAATGATCTGTGATTTCCTGCAATGCTCAGAGTAGGATGGGTAATGACAGACCAGCCCACCCCAAGGAAATCCTATTCAAGTCTAATGGCCAGGTGAGGAGCCAATGGCTACTCTGAACATGAAATTGGCTCCTCCTCAAGCAAGGCTCTGGCACAGGTATGCTTCATGCCAAGACAACTGCTTCCTCAGACACCTCTGGTGAGAGCCAAGGCCTCATGCTGGCTAGTGAGTTAGCCAAGAGAAAAGGTTGCTGGCTCAAATGGCTGGTATAGTGTGACACCACTCATGAGAAAATAATTAATTACATGTTGCTGGTGGAAGAGGTGACTGCTGGTCACGGGCTGGAGATTGGCTTTGAGGGTTTGGATCACTAGACAGATACTGGACTTGAGGAACATCCTCTCCAGGCAGCTGGTCAATCACCTTAGGGACCACCCAGGACTGCTGATTAACTTCTTCAGGGACCTCCAGGGCCTGCAGAGCAATTTCCCCAGGGAACTCTTGGGATGGTTTATCAACCTCAGGGATGTCCTGAGACAACAGATTGATTACAGAAGCCCCCTGGGCTAGCCTGCCAACCTCCAAAGAAAACTTCTGGCATGGCTGGCTGAGCTCCTCAGGGATCTCTTGGGCTGGTCTACCAACTTCCACAAGGGTTTCCTGAACCAGGCCCCCATCCCCTACAGGGAACCCATGGACCAGCCTGCCAACCTCCAGAGGGACCACCTGGTATGGCTGGCTGACCTCTTCAGGGTTCTCCTGGCAAAGCTGGCATACTTCCTCAGAGACTTTCTGGCACAGTTGGCTGGCCTTCTGGCATGGCTGGCTGATCTGAGGGACCTCCTGGCATGTGTGGTTAAGATTGTCATGGTTCTCCTGGCATGGCTGGCTGATGTCAGGGACCTCCTGGCATGGCTGGCTGACCTCCTCAGGGATGTTCTGGCATGGCTGGCTGATGTCCGGGACCTCCTGACATGGCTGGCTGACCTCTTCAGCAAGCTCCTGGCATGGCTGGCTAATTTCCACAGGTGGCATCTGTGGAGATTGGTTCAGTTCAAATGGTTCTTGCTCCCCTTCTATGGCTAGCTCTTGTGCTCCATTCCTGAGGGTCTCCTGGAGTAGCTCAAGGCCTTGACGTTCTTCGTTCACATGTGAATTTAGGGAGGGTTGATCACTGAAGCCAAAATGGGAGTTACCATCAACTGCAGTAGGGGAAGAAGGACCAGCACTGGACACAGTGCTGGAAGGGCCACTGCTGTCTGTAAAGCAAAGTCAGGAGACCAAGTCAAAGAAGCTGGAAGAGAAGCCTCTACTCTATGCATATAGTTCAAATGCTAGAATGGGTAGCCTATGCTACTTATGTCTTGATGAAAGAGGGTCTGAATTCTTCCTAAGTTAGGCAGAGATTCCTAAGTTTTCCTAGCTCAGGAATTTTCACCCTAGTCTAATGTATACTATGAGAGTAACATTAAGGTATATCTAAGATGTCAGGAGAGAGTGCTGAGGCCCACTACATCTAGTTCTTTCACAAATAAACCCCCATCCCAACTCCAAATTCCCATGGCTCCTCATTCCTACTTTGGAAGCATATGAACACTTTAGCCTAGTTGTTCATAATTAGGGTTACCTATCAACATTGTGTAAGACCTCAAAAGCACAAGCAGCCAAAAAAAAAAATAGACAAATGGAATTATATCAAGCTAAAAAGCTTCCGCACAGCAAAGGAAGCAATCAACAAAGTGAAAAGACAACCCACAGAATGTGAGAAAATATTTGCCAACTATCCATTTGACAAAGGATTAATAACCAGAATATATAAGGAGCTAAAACAACTCAATAGCAAAAAACCAAACAATCTAATTAAAATGGACAAAAGATCTGATAGACATTTCTCTAAGGAAGACATACAAATGCCCAACAGGTATATGAAAAATGTTCAACATCACTAATTATCAGAGAAATGCAAATCAAAACTATAATGAGATATCATCTCCAGTTACAATGGCTTTTATCAAAAAGACAGGGAACAATGGGTGCTGGTGAGGACGTGAAGAAAGGGGAACCCTCATACACTGTTGGTGGGAATGTAAATTAGTACTAGTACAGCCATTATGGAGAACAGTAGGAAGGTTCCTCAAAAAACTAAAAATAGAACTACCATATGATCCAGCAATTCCACTACTGGGTATATATTCAAAAGAAAGAAAATCAATATAGTGAAAAGAGATCTGCACTTCCATGTTCATTGCAGCACTATTCACAATAGCCAAAATATGGAATCAACCTAAGTGTCCATCAACAGATGAATGGTGGGGGGGCAAGGGAAATGTAACCTAAACATTTGTACCCCCATAATATGCAGAAATAAAAAAAAAAGAGTTAAAAAAATAGCATGTAAAAAAAAAAACAGATGAATGGATAAAGAAAATGTTGTATATACACATAATGGAATATTATCCAGCCATAAAAAAGAATGAAATCTTTCATTAGCAGCAACAAGGATGGAACTGGAAGTCATTATGTTAAGTGAAATAAGACAAGTACAGAAAAATAAGAAAGGGTAGGCAGGAGAGGGGAATGAAGAGAAGTTGATCAATAGGTACAAATATATGGTCTGATAGAAGAAATAACACCTTGTGTTAGATAGATCAGCAGGATGACTATAATTTACAAAAATATATAGCAGCAGTCCCCAACATTTTTGGCACCAGGGAAGACAATTTTTCCACAGACTGGGGGAGGGAATGTTTCGGGATAATTCAAGTGCATTACATTTATTGTGCTTTCTATTTCTATTATTATTACATTGTCACCTGCCACTCACGGATAGGGTTTTTTTTTTTTTTTGAGACAGAGTCTCATTCTACTGCCCTGAGTAGAGTGCCATGGCGTCAGCCTAGCTCACAGCAACCTCAAACTCCTGGGCTCAAGAGATCCTCCTGCCTGAGCCTCCCAAGTAGCTGGGACTACAGGCATTTGCCACCATGTCCGACTAATTTTTTCTATGTATTTTTAGTTGTCCATTTAATTTCTTTCTATTTTTAGTAGAGACGGGGTCTCACTCTTGCTCAGGCTGGTCTCGAACTCCTGAGCTCAAACGATCCGCCCGCCTGGGCCTCCCAGAGTGCTAGGATTACAGGCGTGAGCTACCACGCCCGGCCAAGGATAGGATTTTTATGAGAGTCTGCAAGCAATTGATTTATTATGGTCTCTGTGCAGTCAAACCTCTCTGCTAATGATAATCTGTATCTGCTGCCACCCCCCAGCACTAGCATCACTGCCTCAGCTCCACCTCAGATCATCAGGCATTAGATTCTTATAAGGAGCATGCAACCTAGATCCCTTGAATGCACAGTTTCCAGTAGGGTTCGCGCTCCTATGAGAATTTAATGCCACTGCTGATCTGACAGGAGGCAGGGCTTAGGTGGTGATGTGAGCGATAGGAAGCAGCTGTAAATACAGATGAAGCTTAGCGAGCCCCACCGCTTACCTCCTGCTATGTGCCCCAGTGCTTAACAGGTCACAGACTGGTACCAGTCTGCAGCCCAGGGGATGGAGACTGTAGATCCATAGTATACTTCAAAATAGCTAGAAGAGAAGAATTCGAAGAATTCTTGGATGGATATCCCAAGTACACTGATTTGATCTTTACAAATGATACTAATGTATTAAAATTATCACATGTACTACTATTATGCATCAATAAAAAATTGTCGCCGGGCGCGGTGGCTCACGCCTGTAATCCTAGCACTCTGGGAGGCCGAGGCGGGCAGATTGTTTGAGCTCAGGAGTTCGAGACCAGCCTGAGCAAGAGCGAGACCCCGTCTCTACTAAAAATAGCAAGAAATTAATTGGACAACTAAAAATACATAGAAAAAATTAGCCAGGCATGGTGGTGCATGCCTGTAGTCCCAGCTACTCGGGAGGCTGAGGCAGAAGGATTGCTTGAGCCCAGGAGTTTGAGGTTGCTGTGAGCTAGGCTGACGCCATGGCACTCTAGCCAGAGCAAGACTCTGTCTCAAAAAAAATAAATAAATAAATAAATAAATAAAAAATTGTCAAAAATTTTCTTTAAATACAAATTCCCAGATTCCATTTCCAGAGATTCTAATTCTATGTTTAGTGTAAAGGCGTAGGTGAGGGGAGGGGGAAGGATGAGGGCAATATCATTTTGTTGAAACACTCCCAGTTGAATCTAACGTATACCTTTTGTTAAGAATCATTCTTTAAAGCAATCAATGTATTTCTGGGGCAGAGGTAATCATTATTAATATCCCAAGAGATAAGTAAGCCAGAGAATATAGAAAAACCTTATAAATAAGAACCGTAGGAAAGAAAATTGTTTACCAAAGATAAAAGACTGCCATGGAACCTCTACATGGCAGAAGTTCTTAACCTTTCTGGGGGTCACTGACCCCTTAGAGGCTCTAATGAAAATCTTCCAGGAAAAATGTACATATGAATATTCACACTCATCTTTGCATATGATTCCTGAGGCTTATAGACTCTACTTAAACCCATCCATGGAGCCAAAGTTAAGACCCTCTAAGTCTTGGGACCCTCTAAATTATAGGTTTGTGCGTATTTCTATTGCATATATAGAAAACATAAAATTAATTTCTTTGAGTATAATAAAGACCTTAGAATCTTTAATCACACTGTGGGACAATTCCTACTCCAGCATCTATTTCTGCATTGACCTCTAGTAAGAGAATAATCTACTTTTCCCTTTGTAAATACCATGTTTATTGATAGTATTGTATTATAACTATATATTAAAACACTATAGTATCAATGACGATAGATTCTCAAAACAGGGAATCCCTGAATACATTGTCATCAAAGAAAACCTGGAAAATTTGGCAAGTCTGAACCTGTAAAAGCTCAGTCAGTCATTGAGTTTATAAGATATGCTAGCTATCTCTCTTCTATAAAGGATCAGAGGAGGCATGCTTCAAGTAGGAAAAGAGAGGGAAATGGTTTTGGTATAAGGCTTTAAGAGATATGGAGTCTATTTCTGGTGCAGATAGACCCTAAAGAAGATGTTTACCAATGAGGCTACATGCCTGATACTGAATCAAAGGTCTAGATGGAAAAAAAGAAAAGATGTAAATTAGCTTTACCTAAGTATAGAAGTAGCCTTAATATCCAGCTTGTGGTCAGAGCTGGCAAATCAAAAAGGTCAAGACAGAAACAAAAGAGGGAGAAGGATAAGATTTCCAGGGGAGCAGAACCCATACACATTCCAGAAGAGGTAAAAGGGGCAGTGTAGGATAATCAAGGTGAGGGTAGGATAATCTGAAATTCAGGTGTCAGGGAGGAAAGTTTCTTCCTTATACCGGGTGCCGGAAGAAGGGCAAAATCTCCAACTGTTAACCCCAATGCTGAAATATAAATCTTTGCTTCATTCCTATCCAAGTAAAATAAAGAAAGGCATGTTTGATTACAGAAGGCAGGATGATAAGGAAAGGATTTTTCCCTCAACAGTCCCTCTGGCCCATAGCCCCACCTTCGATGACTAACAGTATCTTCTCCGCCTTATAGTCATCTTAAGAACTTCTTGTGGCTCCACCGTTCACATGGTTACCAAAAATAATTAGTGATAGGCTACAGGTAATAAAGAAGAGATGGAAAAAGCAGCGTCTCAACTTGAACTAACAGCTGAGAACAGACAACTTGAGAGAAGGGACATGTAGAAATAAGTAGCAGATTCTAGTTTCTTGCTCCCATCTTTTCTAGATGTGTCGTAGGTTGCCTCTTAGTCATCTTTACTGGAGAAAGCTGTAGAGATCAAATGGGGATTGGAGGAGAGTGAAGTCTCCATCCTTTCTTCCCCAAAGGGCTCTTTGGGGCAGAGCTCCCTCCAAATTAAAAATTATTCCCTAATATTGGAGAGGAGTCTCTCTCCAATGAGATAGAGGGAGCATGGAGGACAGATGTGAAGAGAGAGAATAAACAGGCCCTCCCCTCATCTTGGAAGCAGCAGAAAAGACTGCTTCCCTGAATACATATTCCTGGTCTTTCAACCCTCATCTTTCTTCCCCTCATGCAACAGGTCTCTCATTCACCAATCCCTCCACCCCCCTTGGCTTTTGTCTAGGCGAAGGGTTACTTACACCAAGGGGGCCTCTCAGAGCGCTGCTGAAGTTGCAGGGGAGGTGAGTGAAGAGTACGGGGTGGGGAAAATGGGCTATCTGAGGCCTGGTTGCTGTGCAGAGAGTCAAAGAGGGCTGGATAGGTGGGGTGTGGGGAGAAAAGGGGAGAAAAAAAGGCATATGAGGAAGAATCCAAGAGCTATAGGTTCTCAATGTAAGTCAAATCCAACTTACCCCTTTTGGGCTGAGAAGTAGCATTTCCTAGGGACTCTTCCCCCAAACCATTTTCAATTTTTTAAACTGTATATTATGAACATTTTTAAACATTTTTAAAAAGTAGTTGAAAGACTAATGCATCAATACCCATGTACTCATCTCCTAGATTTAACACATTAACGTTTTGCCATACTTGTTTCATCTATTTCTTCATAATAAAGTTCTTTAAAATAAATGACAGACATTATGAAACATTTCACCTCTAAATATTTCAATACGCATTTCTAAAACATAAGGAATTTTTCTTATATAGCCACACACCATTAACAAGCTGAACAAAATTTAAAATAATTCCCTAACATCATCCAATACCAAGTACAAATTCAAATTTCGCCAAATACTCCCCAAATGTCTCTCTCTTTTTTTTCCCTTGAGATAAGGTCTTGTTCTGTCACCCAGGCTGCAGTGCAGTGGCCCGATCATAGCTCACTGCAGCCTCAAACTTCTGGGCTCCCGCAGTCTTCCTGCCTCAGCCTCCCAAGTAGCTAGGACTACAGGCATGAGCACCACGTCCAGCCCAAATGTCTTTTATAGCAGGATCCAAACATGAACCATGCATTGCATTTCGTTATGTCTCTTTTAGTCTAAATAGTGCCCCCACCCCCACTCTTATTCATAGTAACTTTTTGAAAAGAACAGGCCAATTGTCTTGCAGTATGTCATGTCCTACATTCTAGACTTGTCTAATTGCTTCTGCATAGAATCATTTAACTTATTATCCCTTATATTTCCTATAAATTAGAAGTTCGATCTAAAAGACCTAATTAGATGATTCAGGTGAAATAATTTTGTTAAGAATTACTTTAAGAGGTGATCCTATACACTTTATATTGTATCATATTGGAGGCACTTAATGTCTCATTGTCCCATTATAAGTAAGACTAGGTTTACTAACTGGGTTAAGGTGGCATCCACCAGATCTCACTATTGTGAAGTTTTCCTTTCTGATCAGGAGTGATCCTGTGAGGAAAGTCTAGTCGCCCATCAATGTTTCACTTAATGGTGTCAGTATTATCCATTGACAATCCTTAATTATTTTATTAGGGGTGTCAAATGGTGATTTTTCTAATTCTATCAATCCTTCTACATTTACTAGCTAGCATATTTTCTGTAAAGAAGATTTCCCTCTTCAACTGAGGCTATTTTGAACTGCAGTTCACCAAAAAGGTAGGTTAAGTGTTTACTTTCCTTTAATTAGTTTTCAGAGGAAAGAGTTGGTGAACAGTATTCTCCAATGGTGGTGGACAAATATTATTTTATTTTATTATTATTTTCTTTTTTTTGTAGGATTCATTATGGGCTTGTGGATTTTTATACATTCAGTGTACTTTATTTACATATATACAAATATATAAATATTTACATATATAAATATATACTTTTTTCTTTGAGAGATGGGGTCTTGCTCTGTTGCCCAGGGTGGTGCAATCACAGCTCACTGCAACCTCAAAGTCCTGGACTCAAGTGATTCTCCCGCCTCAGCCTCCCAAGTAGCTAGGACTATAGGCACGTGCCAACATGCCCATTTTTAAATTTTAATTTAAAAATTAAAAAATTTAAAATTTTTTTTTTTTTTTTAAAGACAGGGTCTTACTATGTCTCAAACTCCTGGCCTCAAGTAATCCTCCCACCTCAGCCTCCCAAAGTGCTGGGATTACAGGCGTGAGCCACCAGCCCAGCCTATATTACAGCATTTAAAAAGTTTTTTGGGCCGGGTGCGTGCACGAGGTGGCTCACGCCTGTAATCCTAGCACTCTTGGGAGGCCCAGGCAGGAGGATCGCTGAAGGTCAGGAGTTCAAGACCAGCCTGAGCAAGAGTGAGACCCCCGTCTCTACTAAAAATAGAAAGAAATTATCTGGACAACTAAAAATATATAGAAAAAATTAGTCGGGCATGGTGGCGCATGCCTGTAGTCCCAGCTACTCGGGAGGCTGAGGCAGGAGGATTGCTTGAGCCCAGGAGTTTGAGGTTGCTGTGAGCTAGGATGACGCCACGGCACTCTAGCCAGGGCAACAGAGTGAGACTCTGTCTCAAAAAAAAAATAAAATAAAAAAATAAAAAAAATAAAAAGTTTTTTGAATTTATACTTGTGTCTAATTTACTTTACTTTGAAAATTCTGGTTCCTAATAATAGGAACATCATTCCTTATTAGAATTACTTTATAATACAAATATATCAAAATAGCATCAATATCATTATAGTATTAATATCACTACTCATAATTAAACTACTAAATAAGGATTAAAATTATTTTATAGTTCTTGTGTCATCAAAGAATTTACAGTCAGAGTAAATTTGAAAAATTATTTTACCTGTGTGGTTATATTGCTATTTTGATATATAGTTAGGGTCATTTCTTTCTTTTGTTTTCAATTTTAGGGTTTGTTTCTTTTCCCCTTTGATTTAGTTTTCTATTTTGAAAAACATTCACAGGTTCACAAGTCAAAGCCATCTAAGAAGGCACACTCAGGGAAGTCGTGTTTCCTTCATGCCTTTCAGCCCCATTCTCCATTTTTACCTCTAGAGGTAACCAATTTTATTAGTTTCTGGTTTATACTTCCAGCACTTCTTTTTGCAAATATATATGTATTTTTTCTTTATTATATCTCCTTACTTACAAAATAGGTAACATACTAGTAACAGTATTCTGCACCTTGTTTTTTCACTTAATGATATATTCTGGCGATTACTTCATGTCAAATGATGTAGAAATTTCTCATTAGTTTTAACAGATACATAGTATTCAACTGAGTGGATATATCAAAGTTTTTTCAACCACTCTTATACTGAAGAACTCTTGGATTGTTTCCAATACTTTTTACTATAAATAAGGCCACAATGAATATTTTTTATTTTTTTTTCCCACAATGAATAATTTTATGTAAATGTTATTTCAACTTTATGTGGGAATAACCTCAGAATAGAGTCCTGAAAGTGGATTATTGGATCAGAGGTTAATTGTATCTGTAATTCTGTGAGATATTATAAATTCTACATCAATTTATGCCATTTTATACTCCCACCAACAATGTAAAGGACTTCCTATTTCATTAGACTTGCCAAGAAGGTATTTTGTCAAACTTCTGTATTTTTTCCAATCTTCTAATCTGATAGGTGACAAATAATATCTCAGTGTAGTTTTAATTTGCATATCTCTTATGACCAAGATTGAGCATAATTTCATATGTGCAATGGCCATCTGCATTTCTTTCTGTGTAAACTATCTATTTTTAAAAATCATGTTTTTGGTCTTTTCCTTATTGATATATGAGCTCTTTATATGTTAGAATGATTAATTCTACATATATGATATAAATTCAAAAAAATGTTTTTGCTTATGATGTCCCTCTTGGTTTTTTTAAGTTTATATGCTTAATTTATCAATATTTTCCTATTATTTCCCAAATTTGACTTTGATCAAAAGTCAGAATTAGGCTTTCCTTACTTTCAGATGACAAAGGAATTTACCACCACTACCTTGCTTACTTTTAGTATTGACATGGCTTAGTTTTTTTTATTGAGGTAAAATGTACATAATATAAAGTTATCCATCTTAAAGTATATATAGTTTGTGGCATTTAGTACATCCACAATGTTGTGCAACTACCACCTCTATCTAGTTCCAAATCATTTTCATCACCCAAAAAGAAAACCCCATAGCCATTCAATCCCTGGAAACTACCAATCTTCTTTCTGTCTCTATGGGTTTACCTACTCCGGGTGTTTCATTTAAATGGAATGACACAATATGTGATTTTTTATGCTTGGCTTCTTTTACTTGGCATAATGTTTCTGAGGTTCATCCATATTATAATATTTATCGGTACTTCATTCTTTTTTATATCTCAGCAATATTCCATTGTATGTATATACATTTTATTTATCCATTCAAGGACATTTCAGTTGTTTCTACCTTTTGACTGTTGTGAATACTGTTACCATGAACATCTCTGTGAAGGTATTTGTTTGAGTACCTATTTTCAATTCTTTTGGGTACATACCTAGGAGTGGAATTGCTGGGTCATATGGTAATTCTTTGTTTAACTTTTTGAGGAACTGTCACACTGTTTTCCACAGTAGCCGCACCATTCTACATTTCTACAAGCAATATACAAATGTTCCCATTTGTCCACCATCCTCTTTTATACAATTTTTCTTCTTGGTTTTTTATATAGCTATCCTAGGGGGTTGAAGTGGTATCTCATTGTGGTTTAGATTTGCATATCCCCAACGACTAATGAGAGTGAGCTTTTTCTCATGTGCTTCTTGGCTATTTCTCTATCTTCTTTGTAGAAAGGTCAATTCCAGTCCTTTGCCTAATTTTTAAGTTGGGTTGTTTGTCTTTTTGTTGAGTTGTTATGTTCTAGACCCTTATTAGAAACTGATTTGCAAATAATTTGTCTTTCGGTAAGCTGTCTTTTCACTTTTTGATAATGTTCTTTGATGCACAAATGCTTTTAATTTTGGTGAAGTCAAATTTGTCTATTTTTTTCTTTTGTTGCTTATACTTTTGGTCTATCTAGGAATCCACTACCAAATCTAAGGTCATGAAGATTTACCCTATGTCTTCTTCTAAGGGTTTTATAGTTTTAGCTCTCATATTTAGATCACTGATCCATGAGTTAATTTTTTATATGGTGTGAGGTAGAGGTCCAACTTCATTCTTTTGCATGTGAATATCCAGTGGTTCCAGCACCATTTACTGAAGAGACTATTCTTTCTCCATTGAACAGCCTTGGCATCTGAAAACCAACTGGCCATAGATGTACGGATTTATTTCTGGACTCTTGATTTTATTCGATTGGTCTATATTTTTATCTTTATGGCAGTACCACATTGTTTTGATTACTGTAGCTT